TTAGGATACTTCTAAGTCTAGCACAGGTAATCCTTGTACAGGGTAAACTATTTGTTAAGCCTGGCTAATACAAAAAGAACAATAGGTCAAATCTTCCTTACAACCAGCCTATCATAAAGCTCCTTATAGTATCTAGAAGGCTATTGAATTTAAATTCCATTTTTAAATATTTATTTTTTATTTTTAGTTATTTTTATTTATTTTATTTTCCTTTAAATAAAAGATCTTCTACTCAATACTCATCACTTTAAAACTATTACAGCTTGCTAGTTTTTAGTAAATTTTATTACATGATTTATCTTGTTATTACTAAATTATTATATCTATATATTAATAATTGCTTGTATTTGTCATCACTATCCTATCTGTTATCTCCTCATTTCCATATCTAAATAACTACATTGCTATCAGTACTTTATCTTCTTACTTTAAGAATTTACATATTTTTTAACTACTCATCTTTATTGCTATATTATCTGATCATTTTCATATAATTCTTATTTTCATATTCCAATAATTACTTAGCTTCACAATTGCTGCACTATATATTATTTAGTAAAATTTCTTATCTAATTTTTTATTTTTAATTTAATAATTATATTATTAAACAGTATTGTCACAACTCTTTTTTTACTTTAATAATCTTAATAAATTAAAAACATCATGGTTTCTTCTAATCATGAAAAAAGATGCTCATGCTATAATAAATATAAAAATCTTAATGAATTTACTCGACTAATTGGAGGTCAAATGAAAAAATGTTCCAACTGCAATGAATGTGTAAAAACTAAAAAGGAAAAAAAGAAAGTTATTAGTGAACCAATGAGTGCAGAAAGTTTGAACATAACTAAAGATTATATTAATGATGAATATGAAGATATAGCTTGGTTTAGTTTAACAGATATAGTAAACTTAATAGCTAATTGTTTCAAAAGTGAAGAGCATAATCATGCATATTTTTTAAAAACTTTGAAGTTTGATAAAAATTTTGTTAATATGCATAATAAAAATCAAAAGAGTGATAAAGAAGTTACTTATTATAATATAGCTGAATCTCTTCTTGTAACTATCAAAATTGGATTTCACTATTATTGAGAATTAAAAAAAATCTATGCTTATAAGAAAACAATCAATTAACTAGAGAAGCAACTATATATTTTGGTTATGCTTAAAAAAAAGATCGTAAATATACATACTCAAAAAGTCAAGCACCAAAAAGAATAAATGAAGTGAGACCTTAAATAAATTGATATTCATATGAAGAAAACATTAAAATTAACCTTGATATTAAATTTTTTTTTTTTGATATTAAACTAGCCTCTTTTGGGCCTAGAGTTTTATTCAGTAACTTGAATATAGGGACTCATGGCCGAAGCTTCAAAGAAGTCACCTTACATTAGAGAGTACAACTAGCCACACATACACTTTTGGTATCTAATTTAAGTAGTCTGCTAATGGTTCTACACTAGCTGCCATACCTGTAACCCAACTAGAGGCATTGCCTATTTAAACTCTCTGTATTGCAATTCTTACTATGTCACTAGATCATCTCTAATACAGACATCAGTCAAGAAGGTTTAGATACTTTTACACATTTTCCTTAGAACTTCATACCTTATTTCATGTAATGTATCCTTAAAAGCATTGTTACTAGAGCCTTTTGTGTCCTACATACAGCGATCTAGTTTTATATAATACACTATAGTTACCTAACACTTGCAGTTACAGGGGTTATCTGTTTAACTGCTACATTACACTATTTCTACTTTTGTAAAATTCATCCAAGCCCTGGTACCTATCATTCTGACTTCTTCTCTTCATCCTTTTACTATTCAACTCAGAATCTGACAAACTTTCTGAACTTCCAATTCAGATGGCCTGGTATGGTATATCTTTAGTATCCTTTTCCTTCAGCGATTCTGGTAGCCTAGTTGGTCATGTGCTCCTCTACACATCTTTCCATCTGGTTGCATGTCTGCCTATTCATTATTGGGGTTTTCTGGGCTTCCATTAGTCCAATAGCACCGTCAAAGGCTTGTATTACTTTTTATTTAGGAATTTCCAAGTGGTCTTCTGTCTTTTCAGTTTTTTGGTCTTCTACATTCAGTAGTCTTATTGTGAGTTTGCACCAAAGTCTTATGTAATATAGGTTATTAATATTTCTTTATATACATGTAATGTTACATTTCACATAGATGCCTTGGGCTCCCAATGATGAGTAGAACCTGATTAGTTATACCCAAGATTACAGATATCTAAATTTAACTGATCGACAAGAAACAGTTTACCATAATACAGGTTAATTACCAAATTTCATTGTAGGTAGGATTTGAACCTTAAACCTGCTACTTGGAGGATAACAACCTAACCACTACACTAGGATCATTATCCTCTAACCTTGATATTAATAAATATTAAGCAAATATAAAAATTAAATACTTAATAGCTCACAAGCATTTTACATATCATAAGAATAACTTACTACAAAATGACATAGCCTAGATATTATGAAACATACACAGAAACCTTAAAAAAATCAAATTTTATAGAAGGCTTGGCAAAGAAAAACTTATTAGCCCAAATGTGCATACTTATCAACAAGTGTACTATTAGATTTTTAAGTTTTTGGCTCAACAATATGTTACAAATATTTCCAATCAACTTCTTTCTATTCGTAATCTCTTGGTCCAAAGTGATCTAGTCAATCAAGAATATAAAATTCTATTATATATAGAAAATGACTTCATTAGATCTCTTGAATATACTACTTCTTTTTTTAATTATATATTAAAAAATGATATAAGTGAAATACTTATAGATTCAACATATAAGACTAATAATGAAAAATTTAAACTCTTTACTATTATAAATAACTATAAAGAATTCAGAGTTCTACTTGCATATTTATATCTTCAACTTTCACAGCATCATTTGAATGCTTGCAAGATCCAAAAATAAAATCTACTTATACATATTAGCTTTAAAAGAATTCTTTTCCTTATTAAAAACTAAAAGGTATATATATTTAATTATTACCTTTAAATAAAAATTTTTTTTTGAATCTATAATTTTTAAATAATTTAATCTTATTATTAACTTATATTTAGGATTCAGTTTAGCTTTATTTTTATAAATAAAGATGCTGGTGAATTAGCAACTTTAGAAGTTTGGTCTCAAACAACAAAAGTTCATCTTTGCTTATGACATTTAGAGCATACTTTTGAGAGAAAGCTAAAAGAGAAAAAGTATAAAGCTAATCAATATACACAACAAGTAGCCAATAATGCTAAAAGTTAATTTGAGTTTATTGATAAATTTTGGCTTTCTGACAAACAAGAAAATAACATATATCCTAAAGAAAATATTAAAGAAGTTTTAAGAATAGTTAAAAAATATGCATTACTGTATTATTTACTTATTCTAATTAACAAAAAAACATTTCTTATCATAGCTAAAATATACTATCTAAGTGTTTGTGAAATATATGAATATTGTAAAAAAAAGAATCTTATTTATCTATAGGGCTATTTATAGGTTAATTAGTATAAAAAAAATTATTGAAATCTCTTTATCTGAGCTTCTTATTCTAAAGCACTACTATTAGCAAAAACCACTATATTAGTAGAATTATACTGCCATGCTCTTAAACATAACTATAAATATAATACCAATTATCTTGCTTAGATCATTTAACATATATTATAATTCAAGAATTAATTTTTGACCAAATATATAACTGAAATAGATTTGATAACAACCATGCATTTTTACTATGATGAGACATATTTAAAAACAATTGGAAAACTGCATTAGAAAAAGAAGTTAGCATAGAGAGAGAATATTTTACTAACATTAATAAATGGATTTGTTCATGTCTCACATTTCTTGAAAGTAACTACATGTTATGCAAACACCTTGTTAAAAACTATACTACTATACATCCAAATTTCTTCTCTAAATTTATAACTACAAGACAAAAATATAACTACCTATTTATCTACTTTAGTGGAAAAAATCTTCCAACTATTGATCCATCAAATAATCTTTGGAATAATGAAAATATTGAAAGTTTTTCATATGAAGTTAAAAGCATAAAAGATAATATAGAATTAAATCTTCATAACCAGAATAAATTAGTTGAATTTAGAAAAGCTGAGCTAGAAAAGGATAAAAAAGTATTTGAATCTTTAATAACTATTGTTTTAGATAATATTCAAAATAATCATTTTTATAATATATATATAAAATTAAAATGAACCTTAATCTCTAAAACAGTAGTCTGTCAGAAGGCTTTAAGAGCTAAAAGGCAACAAAAAACCTGAGATCCTTCTTGTGAATCAAAACTTGCTTTCTGATTACAATAAGTAGTTATTATATTCCCTTATTTTAAAAAAAGTTGTAATAAATTTATTCACATTTTTTAGTTATATCCTTATAATTAAATTTTCTTAATATAAATAAATATTATTATTTATTATTAATAATAATACTAACAGAGTGTGGCGACCTAGTGAAGTGGTCAGGTTGTCAACTTTCCAAGTGGTAGGTTGGGTATTCAAATCCCATCGATGGTGAAAATTTGGATAATCACCTATGTAATATTCGTATTATGGCAACTGTTACTAACAATTGGGTTAGGATATCTGTA